CTAGCGGGTGTTTCTTGTTGTAGCGCCTAACTTCTGCTAGCGGGTGCTTCTTGGTGTAGCGCCTAACTTCTGCTAGCGGGTGCTTCTTGTTGTAGCGGCTAACTTCTGCTAGCGGGTGCTTCTTGTTGTAGCGCCTAACTTCTGATAGTTAGATATCCTTTTTTATTCATACAAAATTATTCAAATTGAAAACTCGGTAATGTTGGTGGCTTCTGTCCGGTCTGAATAGTTTATGAAACATCTCCAGAAGTTGTTCCCAAGCTTTTATTAGTTAAACGAAAAGGAAGCGTTGCACATTCACGCGCAGACCCGCAACTTTTGAGATTTGTTTCCACGCCCGTAATTCCATGCAACCCCGTAGCCGACACTGTGGAGTGGAGTGCTATTTGATAAGGATATTAGTCCATCAAAAAGGCTACCCTTAAATTCTTAAATAAAATACTAGAATATCAAAGCATGTGCTACATATATTGCAGTATTTAAAAACAACAACAATAGCTTCTATACTGTGAGAGCTACATCTTTATGGGATATGCACAACAGGGAGTGAAACCAGGAACGTAGCATTTTTCATCAAGTCAGCAGAAATCATCAAAACACCGGACCTAGCGTTTAAACATATTTTAAAAACTATGAACCATATATATTTTTTGTTTTCCTGTAAAAGCATATATTTTTCGGTTTCTATTTTTTCTGAAAAGCTTAAAAAGCACCCTCGTTTTGGAGTCTAGCCCACCCAGAAGAAAACTGGACCCACTGTCTATCTTCATTTGACATAAAAGTCACAGAAAGGGACTTATACTGGTGAAACTCAATATCCCTCTAATTGTAACCATACCTCAACATCACCCCGACACCCTGCCCTGAAGTTGCCGATCCCTCAAATGCACCTTGAATATGTATACAGGGAGTGTGAGAGGATGAGTAAAACCTCTAACATGTCTGTTGAGAGGACTAAGAAATTGGATTTAAGTTTAAGAGTTATGTTTGAGATAGAAAAACATGTCGAGTGATGTATATGCCTAACTGTGAACAGAGCACCACTGAGATTATTAGTTTAACTTGAATATTCAAGTGTGCATCCTCAAGGGCCCATTTACAGATGAGAAAGTTGAAGCTGATGTTTAAATTAGAGAGACAGAACTGAGCTGGTAAGATAATAAGGTGTGGGTATCTGTGTTCATAAGGATGTGTTGGTATGGGTGATGATGAAACTTGAGAAAACAGCTGACAAAAGAAGGCTGCAGACAGAGTTTGAACTTCTCTATCAAGAGAAGGATAAGTTAGATGTAGAAAAACCCCACATATAAAGAATTGTGTGGTTTCTTGGTTTGACTTGGTTCAGTGACAGATTTAAGCAGCAGCATCACAAAAATCTACCCAAAAAATTAAACCATGGATCTAGAACAGGCAGTAGTCCAGACAAAAAGCAGAGTCCAGGACCTTGTGAAAAATGAAATTGTAGAAGAGAAAAGACAGCCATTGTACCAGTTACTATGGAAGCATGCATTGAGAAGATATCCTCACTGGCCCATGAAACGGTAATTTATTCATGTGTAGATATCCAATTTAACCTGTTGACATTAAATGTACTCTTTTAATATTACTCATTGTGGATGATAATGTAAGAGGAATTCAATTTAAGTAGTAATCATAGGCTAGGAAAAATAAGGAAAGATCAGGTGAGTAGGGGAGGAGAGGCTCAGATGTGCAAGAAATATGAATTAATTAGAGCAAACAATTGTCATTAAACCTCCTGTTTAGCCTCAAAGTGCATCATATACTGAGAAACCTGAATAAAGAATGCAATAGCCCTTTAATGATTATGTGCATTTAGTAAGAGCTGTTGACTTTTCCTGCATTCTTGATGGTTTTTATGAAATGTTAGTTTGTACAGGTTTCTGTGATCAGAGTAATTGTAAATTGTTATAACTAGGACAGATATTATAGGACTAACTCCCCCCATGTATCTTTTCAATAGGCCACAGAAGCATGGACAAGAACTTGCACAGTGTAAATAGTCTCGGGCGTGTTGTGAGGAGGACCGACAGTGTTCTGGGCCACCGTCACTCCTACATGTGGACATCAACGGCAAGTTGATGAGGTGAGAAACATATTCTAAAGTTGTGGTGGTTCAAGTGAGAGAGTGTGAGAACTATACTAGCACTGACAAGTTCAGGTCAGACTGTAATTTAAATAAATAAAATAAATTGTAATGAAAATTCTCATTTTTATAACTAACATGGAACACAATGTAATTGCATACAACACTTCATTGTTTGTTCCAATCTGACCCATTTTTCTGCTGACAGACTTCTGAGTTTGATATATGGATGTTTTAACACAGCAGCTGTAAGGTTTGCATATTAGCACCTTTCCACATGCTTTCACTCTGCATTTGTATCCACCACGTTTGTACACAGGGTCAGAACGAACTGTAGTGTAACGGTTTCATTTACTGTAGGATAATGAAGCTTTAGTAAAAACTTTGTGTCCTATCTGTAGTGTTTATGGCAAACATTGTCATAACTACATAGTGACTGACCTTCATTGCTCTCAAGCAAAACACAAGTTGCTAGTACAGCTGGCAAATACAATTATCTTTTAATTCACTGTGGATAAACTCATAAGTAACTTTGAGTAGCCGACTGAGTTAACTCTAAATGTATTGTCACAGATCCTGATCCTCCAAACGGCCAAAAACAAGGCATCCATGGCTCTGGGGTTCTTTCTTAAAGCTGCAAAGAAACCCGACTTTCCATCCAGGTATTCTACGCCATCTTGTTTTGCTTTTTGTTTACAGAACAAAATAACTTGCTCTACTTTTCCCCCCCGAGAGCCTGCCTCCAATCCAAGATGATCTCGACATTGAGGGATGGGACAACCCTTCACAAGAGAGCTGTGCAGTGTTTCAGTATTAAACAAATATTCTTAAATTCTACAAGGTTGACTGTAGTAAAGTTGTCAGTTTTCAAACTGCCCTTACAATGACTGAAAACCCACATGCAGTCTGAAAAGCAGGAGTAACTACTACGATGAAGCCTAATTAGATATTTTAGAGAATTGTTTAACATACTGCTATAAAATTGAACACTGGTGTAGTTTTAAGTGCACAGAAGTTACTAAATTAAACATTTTAATTGTTCACATATTAAATGTTAATATCAAAAGCAAAACAAGACGGCGTAGAATACCTGGATGGAAAGTCGGGTTTCTTTGCAGCTTTAATGGGATGGAGTGGCTGCAAAAAAAGATTTGTAAAGCTTTGATTTTAATAATAAATGGTCCATTTATAAACAAACTTGCCTGTCTCTATGCATGTCCTCAAGAATGCTGTTGTACGATTCTGGATGATTGTCTGGCCATGGAATGACTGGTTAAGGATTGCCTAAGGGGGAAATGGAAAAAGCTTGAATTTAAAGCATGATATGCTCTATAATTTCAACCCATCACATTGGTTTTGACAGGTTTTCTTCATTTTGAACAAAAGGCTTTTAGCAGGCACATTTGTACCTGGGCAGTGAATATCCCTTCATATATGCAGAATGGACACTGCAAAGTTCCAAGTCAACATCTATTTAGACAAAATCAGGGGGAATAAAATTTTAAATATAAGATGTCATGTCAACATGTGAGCGTTTGGGAGTGCGAATGGGGACTGAGAGCAAAGACAAAGATTCGCACTGTCCTCATCAGGGACATGTTGTTCGCTGACGATGCGGCCCTGGTGTCACATACGGAGGAACATCTTCAGCGGCTGATGGATCGCTTTGCTCTGGCATGCAAGGAATTCGGTTTGACCATCAGCATTAAGAAAACTAACGTTATGGGCCAGGACATCCCTGCTCCGCCCTCAATCACCATCGACAATGAGATGCTGGAGGTCACCGACAAGTTCGTATACCTAGGCTCCGTAATTACCAGCGGCCTATCCCTATTTAGACAAAATCAGGGGGAATAAAATTTTAAATATAAGATGTCATGTCACCACATGTTGAAATAATAGCATCTCTGAATTACTGGTGGCAAAGTCCCAAGAAAAGGCCAGACGGGTTCATCGCCATCAAGCCTATAAGGAACATTCACTTTTGTTTACCCTCAATTTATGAAACAGGCTATGCAAATTTGATCTTTAACAGTAATTTAAACTAATCTGCTGTTGCAAAGCACCACTCTTGTAAAAA